AGAAAACCTAGTCCTTAACTATATTTAAACCCTTTTTATATTACTTATAAATTATCTTTAGTACTACTTTATTTAAGAGGTATAATTAATAAGTAAGTTTTATATTAAGATTAGTTAGCACTAGTAGTTACTTATATTAAGGCTATATTATATTCTTAATATTAATTAACCTATTAATAGTATAAGCTTATATAGCGTTAAGGATTTTATCTAGGTATACATTACTATCTTTATCTATAATTAGACTATCTAAGTTAATATATTTCTAGATATACCTTAATTTAGCTTTAAGCTTAAAGGCTATATACTAAGTAGGCTAGTTAGCTTATAACCTTAGCTTCTTTATACTATTGATTAATATTATTAGTCTAAAAGTCCTTTTTTAGATAAGATAGTTTATTTAAGAGAGAGATATCTAGCCTATAGGCGCTCTAGATATAATAGTTAAAGGGTGTAGTATAAGCTAGGCTTATAACTATTATAGACTTACTTTTTAGGTAGAAAGAATTATAGGAAAACAGCTTAACTATCTAACGTCTAGTAATAGTTAGCCTAGCTTAAAGAAATAGGTTTTCTTTAAGTAGGCTGCTTATATAAAGATAAGGTTTAGCTTAGAAGAACTATTCCTCTATTCTAGAGAAACCTTAGCTGTAATACAGCTCTATATATATAAGTATAATACCTATAAAGGTATTATAATATATCCTAAGCTACTTTATAGGTTTATATGTTATATTTAGTCTTTTTATAATTACTATACTATTATATATATAGCTTACTACCCTTTATATAACCTTTTTTTTAAAATATTCTTTTACTTCTAGCTTTAATACTTTCTTTTTCTCTTTATAGCGCCTCTACTTGTCTCCATAATACCAAGCAACAGGTATGGTCGGATCATTAGGTAGGACATCGCCGACTCTCATATTGTCAACTAACGATCCTAATGGCGAAAATCTCCGTCAACCTCAGTAATCCCTGCCTAGACAACTGGTGCTAAGTCTGGCCTAGGAGGGGTTAGGATCTCACAGGAGCATCTATTAGTGGCCATGCAGACAGGTTCTTTCGCTTATCTCACCGTGTAGCCTAGATTCGACCGATCACAGTCCGGGTCGTCGGAGTCTTACAGATCAGCGAAGTGATAATAATGGTTACGCAAATCTCCATACCTGATTTTCCAGCCCGCCAATCCTGCAGCATCAGATCCTGTGCGTTCACTGTGTGTTTTAAAAACTTGCACAGCAGCGGCAGCTTGTTTGTTGAAGCTAACTTTTGATCTAAGGTAGATTTGGTGCCCCAACACTTAATACCCCTGAGAACTTACCTAAAAGCAAGTTGCTTCTCTAGTTTTATTAAAATTATAAATAATATAATTCTATATCTTATACTTTATAATTATATTTTATATAAGTATAAACTAGCCTTATATAATTATAAGATCTTTAGCTAAGGCCTTTTAATAGTTAATCTAATATTAAAATTATATTTTTAATTATAGTTATTAGTATATAAAGTTCTCTACTTATTAAGGTCTAATATACGTTACATTATATTTATTTAGAAGTTAGTTAGCTATATCTTATATATTATCTTACTATAAAGGAAACTTTAATTAATTAGATTAATAACCCTCTTAGTAATTACCTTCTTTTTAGATATAGTTATCTTTATTAAATTTAGTTATCTTTTAGCTTATATAATATATTTAGTGCGTTAGTTATATAGTCTTATTTAGGGGACCTTAAAGGTAAAGGCTACTTTTTTTATATATACTTTTAGGTCTTATTTAATTACCTAGATAGTAAGGATAATACGGCTTTTAATTAAGGAGGATTATATATTTATACGTAGAGGAAAGTAAGTATAAAGGTTAAAGAGGTAAAAAGATTAAAAAGGTAGTAACTTATTATAAGTAGTAACTTACTATCTAGGTACGTTATAGCTATTTAAGCCCTTAATTAGTAATATTTATAATTATAATTACTTATTATTATTTTAGTAATTACTAATTTATTATAACGTCTATAGTAACTATAAATTACCTCTATTTATTAAATTAGTTACTTAGGTAACTAACTAAAACTAGAGTATATAGAGTTATATAGTATTACCTACTACTTAATAACCTAATATAATATAGTAACTTATATTAAAGCCTTTAGGTTTAATCCTAAGTAGAGGTAAAAAGACTTAATTATAGTAATATCTATAAAGCCTACTAACCTTATTAATTAGTTAGTTATTAGATTATCTACCTAAAGCTATAGATAACGTAAAATATAGTAACACCTAGAGCTATACTAGTGTAAAAAATATAGTATAGGTAAGTGTTAATTTACTTAGTAAGCTAATCCCTTTATTTTATTAAATATAGATTACTAAGTATAAGGCTTAATTACCTTAAAGTTAATATTCTCCTTAAATATATTTACTAATATAGCTTATCCCTTAGTAGATAATATTTTACTATTTTAAATAACTATAAGTTAACTTCTTTAGTTAGTCTTAATATTATTTTATAGCCCTAATTAAGGCAAATATAACAGTGAAATCTCTGACTGGAAAAGTCGCTTGGTTATTAAGATATCTACATTTAAGATATTTAGGCAAAGGTTATTCTAGACCGCCGCAGTCGCTCCGGTAGTTTTGCTAAAGGGTTGCCACCCCCCCTTTTCCCTTCAGCGTCCGAAGTCTTGTCTATATTACGACCCAAATAACCAGTTTACCATATCATGAGCCCCAGACTGGCTAACGCTGCCATACGGATACGGGTAGCTAACTCCATGCGGGTCATGGCTCTGATACGGGTCATGGCTCTGATACCCCAGGCCATTACTCGCACTTACGCCAACCTGAAGTCTGCCCTCTGTCTCAGGCTGGCCATGAACATCTGCACGTAGCTTTATTACAGCATCCTTCCATTTACTCTCCGCATCCCAGTCGACTTGTTTGCGTGCATTTGCAGGATTACTCATTACTTCTAGTGCAAAAAACTCATAGTTCTGAGCGTTACCAATAGCCTCGTCGTCGGTCAAGGTAATACATCTGTTCTAGCCGTTAGTCTTTTCCTTTTAAATTAACTGAAACTGTTAGTTCACTTACTCCGACACTAAATAAGCATGGTCTACAGTCCAACACGGTCCAGATATTGCTTCTAAATGCGTCATTTCGTGAAGCAAAGCAAGCGCGCCGGTTGGTAAACGGGCTCGAGATCGTGCCCACATCGAGCGTGTAGCCCGATCCGATTCATCTGACAGATAATATTGGTTTTGAATAAAGGAGACTGGGCATATGTATACCTGTCCCAATGTGGGCAGAGCATAAGCTAAAACACCTGCTTTCTGGCAAAGGTTGGTTGTTTGTAGATTCTGACAGGCAACACCAACAGTGTCGCCTAAATCTTCCATGTCTCGAATATAGTGATTGCTTGTTGACCCTAAGCCGTAGATATTCCTGAATATACTGCGTACTTTCGTCAGGCCATCATCGTTCGCGTTCCCCGCTAGTAAAGATCAAATTAGCCATTTCCGTTTTCAAGTGCCTTACGTCGGAGCGAAACTTACGTCCGAACCACCCAACGAATGCAGCAGATCTCTCGGCTCCGGGTTGACTAAGAAAAGAGTATGCAGCTCCAGCATACTCGTGCATGTTCTTAATAGCATTGTCAATTGCGTGGGCTTGGGTTGTTGAGCATTTCAAGGGATTGTCACTGCCTATTTTCCCAGCGATAATTCCGATATCATTTGCTCCTGCTGTGATATCAGTAGATTGTGATGAGCTGCCAGTTGCTGAGCTGCATCCGTATTTCTTTGGGCGAAATGGGTTCTTCGGCTTCCACCCGGAGACGAGATTCAGTAAACAGAAAATTAACAATAACTTGAGACGAGGCATCTTGTAATCAGTGTAAGAGTTCAACAGAGTAGAAAAATCTAGGTTGCATCAATCTTGATCACTATAGGGAAGAAGCCGGGTAATCATGAGCGAAGATATATTCGATTTAAATAGTACTCTTAAGGAAGACCAAGTGGTAATGTGTTTATAAAGCAATGATCCTACTACCACTTGTGAGTCATTGAAATCCCGGGATATATATTATTCTATGCGACTTTAGATTAATAAATGCAGTAATTATAACGAGCCCTCAAGACCTTGCCCTTAATAAAGAGCTCATTTTATACTACACAAAGCGTAGTGGGGGTAAAGTAGTTTTTTTTTTACTTTTTGTGTTTCAACCTCATTGGTTGCTGCCAGGCGTAACATATACTAGTAATACAGAATAGGGGATAAAGATGCACGACTCTACGCATAAGCTAACGGTGAGTGCCCCCTGTGAGCCTAAGTGTGGTGGTGTACAGAGTACCTAGGATATAACACGTCGGTAGGTCCGGGTATGTGGATACGGGCAGCAATAAAATGTAGCCTTTCTCTTTTTTCCTTTCTTCATATTAAGAGCTTTGACAACCTATAACGGTGGGCACGACCGCTCCTGGAAACGAACGGCACTGAACAACGCGGTATAGCCGATTGCGACTTATTCATGAGCGTTTTTGTTTCTAGTTATTAGCGGCGGGGCGCCGGTTGCCCTGCTGTTTTGCCAATCTTCTCTGAGCTGCTCTTGCGCCAGCCAGCCCGAAAGGTCAAACCGGCGATGGTTACAAAAATGAACGGTGTGCTATTCGGCTGCTGAGCTGGCAAGCATACATACGTATACAGCTGCGAACCGACGCCATCGATTGGTTCGCTGCAGGTGATCGCATGTACTTCTGGCGTCCCTTACCCAACGAGGAGGAGGCTATGCCTGTCTCTGGCCAGCCGGAGGCCTCACTTACGAGTACAATTGCGGAACCGGCATCTTTCCTCCGAAACGAAGTCTCCTTTACCTATTTCCTACCTTCTAAAACCATCAGCTACTTTTGATCTCTTTTGCTATCGGTTTCACTATGGATAAGGTCAGGTTTAAGCTCTCCTAAGCCGACTACCCGCCACTGAATCCGGAAGCGATGGGCACGGGGACCGAGGCCGGCCCGTTAGACCTGGGCCATTTCATCCCTAACCTGCGCAGGCTCGGTTTCCCCACCAACCGCCTCCCATCTCGTTTAAGTAGGAGGACGTGCAGGCCTCTGAACAAGGCGGCATCCTGGGCGGAGGATCCCCTATGCTCGCCGCCGCAGGAGTACCTGTCACCGCAAGAGCCAACGTCAGTGCGTACATGCACTATTGCGGTAATAATAGTCATTTTAGTCTGCCCTTTAGTGAAACTCCTAGAGCAACTGCAGCTGTCAAATCTAGCAGAATTACACGTGAATTAGCTAGCAAATACACAGTTACCCTATAGCAAATTGTTGGGGAATAGGGAGTGAATTAGCCCTACTTCTAATGGTAACTTTACTAATAATATCGCTAGGATTAGCTAGGGATTTCCTAACTAAGAAATAGGGGTTTTTCCTTATTTCTATAGTAATTTACTATAGATATATAATATATAATAAAATTAATTAAGTAACTATTATAATCCTTACTATTTAATAATTAATAGTCTAATATATATATCTATAATAACTAATATACCTATTTACTAATTGAATACTATTATAATAATTAATAAGAACTATAATAATAAGGTAACTATTTTATAATTATATAGTAATTAGTTTATATAGCTTAATACTATTTAAGTAAAAGTAAAGCGTTATAATCTCTAGGAGTATATTAACCTAGAGGTTATAGTAGCAAACTAATTAATCTTTAAGATATATCTAAAGAAACTAATAAAGCTACTTATAATATAATATCTATATACCTTAACTAAGAATAAGCTTACTACTTACTAAGAGGTTACTATAACTATAGTAATTACTAAGATATCTTAGTAAGTAACTATATAGCTATATATAGTAAAAAGTAAGGCTATTATAGCTATACCTAATAAGCTTATATATAAAACTAAATATATAATAACACTAAATAATCTTAACTTATATAATCTTATATACTTAAATAGCTAGATAAGCTACTATTATAAGGAAGTATATAAGTATACTACTTAGTAAAAAGACGTTAAAGATATAGCTAATATAGTTAAATCTACTATATTTATAAATCTTTAAGAAAAATATTATAAGTCTAATAAATTACTAGCTAAATAGCTTAATAAGCTTAGTATAGTAGTAAGAATAACTAAAGAAGAGTATATAAAGTACGCCTATAATAAATATAGTAAAATATTAATAAAAGCCTAGTAAAAGGCCTTAACTACTAAAAAGAATCTTACTATATAGCTTAATAAATAGAATATAGCCTATAGTAAATTAGTATAAGTTAATTTACCTAACTACTAATAGCTATTAATTTAGTTTAATAACCTTACTACTGCTTTATAAAGTAGTTTACTTAGCTTCTAGCTAGATTTATATATAGTAACTAGTAAAATAATAAGTAACTAAAATAATCTTAACTAGTAGTCTCTTTATAAGATAGCACTAGAGAGGGTTAAAGCCTTTACTAATAACTTACTATACTATAGCTAAGTAGGCTATAGTATATTTAGCTTAACTAGAAGTAATAGTAATTATAACCTAACGCATAGTAAAGACATAGTAAAGGAGAATAAATTAACTAATAACAGATATTACTATTAATAAAGTATAAGTAAAAAACTAAAGTGCCTTATATACTTTAATCTCTATTTATTATAACTTTATTACTTTATAAATAAGTTATAAAGGCCTAATAATTAGTAAGTAAATATATAATATTAGTAGTAAATTAATAAGTATATAGTAAGTAATTTTAACGTTACTAAATAAGTATAGAGAATTAAGGCTAAGTTATATTAAATATATAGTAAATACTATATAAAGGTAGCTTTTTATACTACTTTATAAGGCTATAGGCTAGGTAATTTAGCTTTACTTAATTTAGGCACTACTAACTATATAT